TTCCATGAGGGTGGTATGAGGGCCCGACGTTCACAGGTGGCGGTTGTACATACAGCCCAACAGCGTGCAGGATGTTTGGCATTTGCCAGAGAACACCAAGATTGGCAACTTCGCCACTGGCGCCCTGTGCTCTTCACAGATGAAAGCAGGTTTACACTGAGCACATGTGACAGACGTGACAGAGTCTGGAGACGCCTTGGAGAACGTTCTGCTGCCTGCAACATCCTCCAGCATGACCGGTTTGGCAGTGGCTCAGTAATGGTGTGGGTTGGCATTTCTTTGGGGGGGCCGCACAGCACTCCATGTGCTCGCCAGAGGTATCCTGACTGCCATTAGGTACAGAGATGAGATCCTCAGACCCCTTGTGAGACCATATGCTGGTGCGGTTGGCCCTGGGTTCCTCCTAATGCAAGACAATTGGCTGGAGTGTGTCAGCGGTTCTTGCAAGATGAAGGCATTGATGCTATGGACTGGCCGCCCGTTCCCCAGACCTGAATTTAATTGAGCACATCTGGGACATCATGTCTCGCTCCATCCACCAATGTCACGTTGCACCACAGACTGTCAAGGAGTTGGCAGATGCTTTAGTCCAGGTCTGGGAGGAGATCCCTCAGGAGACCATCCGCCACCTCATCAGGAGCATGCACAGGCGTTGTAGGGAGGTCCTACAGGCATGTGGAGGCCACATACACTACTGAGCCTCATTTTGACTTGTTTTAAGGACATTACATCAAAGTTGGATCAGCCTGTAGTGTGTTTTTCCACTTTACTTTTGAGTGTGACTCCAAATCCAGACCTCCATGGGTTGAAATTTTTTTTATTTGATTTCCATTTTTTTAAATTTTGTGTGATTTTGTTGTCAGCACATTAAACTATGTAAAGAACAAAGTATTTCAGAAGAATATTTAATTCATTCAGATCTAGGATGTGTTATTTTTGTGTTCCCTTTATTTTTTTGAGCAGTGTGTATGTGTATATATATATATATATATATATATATATATATATAAAATGCTTTTTAATTTTAAATATTATTTTAATTAGTACAAATGTGTGAACGTGAAATCAAATGATTTTACATGCATTTCTTCATAATATTTAATATCTTATTGTTTGATACTCCTTTGCTGTTACTTGAACATAAACCAAAGTATACGTTTCCATTGATATAAGCACCTATACGGGTTATACACCTTTAAGAGGTTGAACGTTTAAAACGTTTTTTGACGCAAAAGACGTGTATATATATGATTCAAACCCCCTAGGATTGTATCTTGAGAAAGCCCGAGCTAAAGGATGAAATGCGTAGATCACCTGACGGCGATTTTTGTTTTGGACATTGGCAGCATCGGTATCCACAGTTGGCATCTTTCTTAGACAAGAGAGGTCTGCACCAGCTCAAGTGCACAGGATCGGTTTGCAGTTCCTCATCGACAAAGTGGTAACAACACCTTCACTTGTATTATACTGCACCAATGCTAGATTGTGGCACATAGAGATAAGTTCCACCACCAAATCTTGTAAGAGTTCCATAAAGGTGTTGGTTTTGGGAAATAAATATTTACTGTGTCTCTTTTCTAATTGAAGGTAGATACAAGGTTACACCTGGATTTGATACAATTGAAAGAACGCACAGATCACTGTTTTATTCCCTACAACTTGGAATAATATCCTTTTTTTTCTAATTAGGAATACTGTTGGGACTCTTAATTTGGATCTTGGATCTTTCTCCCCACTTTTGGGTTACGGGGAGTATTAACTAAGCACTGATCCGACTTGTGTTTTTATTTGTATTGTACTTTGAAACTTGGCAAGGTTTCATTGTATCTGGCGGCTTTTTCCTTATTTAATTTTTATCATTTGTTTTAAATTATTGTGTATACACTCAGCTCTCATATTTTTTACTTCATGCTAAGGACCAGTTTAGGTATTTAGTTTACCTATAGGAGGGCTATTATTCTGCGTGTTGGGTTACCTATTCGTGACAGTATCTCTCTTTATATAAGGGCCCAATGCTTCTTCAGCAGAAAAGGATCAAACTCCATGAATTGCGAAGATCATCTTACTCTACAACTTCTTCGTGTATGACCCGGCTTGATATTGGAATTACAATTTCTGGATCCCTCCATTTGGACCTCAACTACTTATTATTAATAATACCCATCTATATCAGACTGACATACTATGCATTACTTTAAAAACGGCACTGTCACCTCCCACCCATCTCCCCTCCCCCGAAAATTAAATGTTTCATAAAGATAGAATCTTTACAAAATACTAATTTTGACTTTGTTAGAATTTTACTGAAATTCCAAACCAGTCAAGAGGTATACAAAGACAAAGTAGGGAATTTTTTCAACTCTGGCCAGAGCTACAGTGTCAATCCCAATGGCTGCAGGGAATTGGCTCTGTCTATGGAGGATCCCGTGCTCTCCTCTATAGAACTCAATGCTTTACACACGCACATATGCAAGAGTACAGAAGTGACATTGGATCCTGGCACTGCTGGAGGACTGCTGGAACAATATGGCCAGGCCCACAGGTTCAGGTAAGTGAATCGCCTTCGGGGGTCGTGCGTATTAGGCAAAGTCCTGAGGTGGTGACAGTGCCACTTTTATTAAATTGTGCCTTTTAGGTTTTCCTCACAAATACTTGTTGCCGAACCGGAACCGGTTTGATTAAATAGATGAATTGGATCTCCTTATTTTTAAATGATACCTGTTGAACTGGATTGTTTCATGGATTCCGCTTAAATATCTTTTCCCATGATTTTCCATTATTCAAATTGGTGAATTTGGACTATTTACTTTCTCTTTATTGACACACTGATGTGGATTTTTTTTTTAAATTAATTCTTATCAACTTAGTTTCAAACCTGAAGAAAAGTTAGTTCACCTTAAAAAAGGTAACATTATATTTAGTTACCTTTGTTTCAGGATGTTCTTACTTATTTCTGCAATTTTATAATTAATTTTTTTAAAAAAAGGATAATTAAAACATATTTTCCGATTCATATTTATAAACAAAGGGGCAAGATGAAAAACATACTGGCCTGTGTGTGTTCACTACAGTTTTTATTGAGCTCATGAGGATCCAAGAGCCTTTCAGTGTAAGTTAAAAAGTATTTACAGAATATGTCTCAGTGTGATGTTTTTTGCACAGATCACTTGATACAATTCTATTAAGGTCCTTCTGAGATTAATCCAGTTAAAGTGGTCTCCCAGGCAATGCAGGAGGATTATCTGTGTATCTAACACTGTCAGCGGAATGAGAAGAACAAGGTACACAAGGTTCAGTATAGCTCTATGAGATGGTTGAAGTGGATAATAGGAGGAGAGAAAGCCTATTGTGCCCTTATAAAAACTGGAAAGATTTTGTGCATTGTTCACTAAATGAATAGCAAGGCTTCCATCAAAAATGAGCCAAATGAAACAATTACAACTTACAATTCAGATTCCTTTCACTTTGTATAAGGTTTTTGCACAACCTAAAGACACATTTTTTTTTAATGCATATAATTGTTACAAAAAATATCCCTTCACAGTTAATGAATAGCCACTGCTTTTTGCCAAAGGTCTTCATTTCTTGTTATTGCTAGGAATGACGTAATGGATCAATTCAGGTGTAGATTAACATGAATTTGGTCTGTTTGTTGCAGGTGAAAAGGATTTGTGCGAATGTCTAGTGCTGGCCATTGTTCAATCAAACGATTCTCACTGAAAATGAATCTTCATTCCACAGAGTCTCAAAGTGTGGCTTTATTGAAATTTAGGGATTAAAAACAAAAACACAATTTAGTGCTGTAATATTTTAAAACGGCCCTTTTAAGTATTCCTATTTAATAATCCACTAATATGGTGATTTACTATAAATCGATCAGCCATCACATTACAACCATCTGCTTAATATCATGAAGGTCCCCCTTGTGCTGCCAAAACAGCTATGATGTGTCATGGTGTGGATGCCACAAGACCAAGATGTCAAAGTAACATCCACATGAGTCCCGGGACCTAATGTTACCCAGCAGAACAGAACTGAAGAGAGTATTCCAGTTTGTTGATTGAAAGTCCAGAGAGGAGGTCTGACACAGATAAAAAAGGCTATTTTCTCCAGTTTCAAACATTTTTATTAACAAAGGCTGCATGGACGAGGTCTTTGCACCATATGCACTTCAGTAAGATGAAGTGGTAATAGCACTTAGTGTGACGTATGTACATTTATGGCATGGACCAGTTAAACAAAGCTGGATACCCTGAAGGGGGTTATTGACAAAAGTAAAAAATGTTAAAAATTTATAGCATATTTCTAGTTAATTTCACAATTTTTAGATTGTACAGAGTAACTGATCAGTATTCTGTAATAAAAATGAGCAGAAAAACAATGAATACATTTTCCTAGAAAAACAATGAATGCATTTTCCTAATCAATATAATAATAATAATAATATAATGCAATCACGGAGCCACAAAACAGAATGATCCTTAGAAAGAAGATTCAATTTAACCATTTGTTTGTCAGCTACATACCAAGCCCATTGTAAAGCAATATCTTCAGAGCACCTCTGTTACTCAAAGAGTTAACTATCTGACTCCAAGTAGAAAACTGTATTCAGACATTGATATTAAAGTAAATGTTAAAATTCCAGAGGTTATCAAGATGCTGAAGGCCAGATTTCAGTGATGAATCTGTGCTAGAACTGACATTGAGCTAACTGTTAACAGGCCCCAAAAGCTCTTACACTCCCCCAGACATATGCTACTTTACCATTAAAAAAAACGAGCTTTGTTTAATGTGACAGGATAGTCTTATAACAAGTAAACACTTTATTAAATCCAACATTGGTGCTTACACATGTTTAAAGTTTGCAAATGTAAGACATGAAAACCTCTGACAAGAATCATCACATTTGTTCTCAAAGGGTTTTATTCACTAAATAGTAAATGGGAAAAGTTAAAGTTGGCTACGTAAGAGTTTGGGTTATTTGTCGCAAGGATATTAGCCTACATTTTCAAGCTGGTTCCTTTCTCACTTTTCCAGTGATGACCAATCTTGGTTTTCCAGATGTCTGTGAACTACATTGCCCATGATGCCTGTGACATTTGGAGATTTGAAAATAAGAGAGACAAGAGGAGGGATAGAATCTGGGATAAGAGTGGGAAAATGCCAGTGAAGTAAATTGTGACTCTGGTAAAAGGGAGACGTCAATTCCTGTCCTGGTCACGGAGAATTGCAGAAACAAAAATGATGCTCTTGCCCAAAATTCAGTACCTTTTTCGGACACTTTCTATTCAACTCAACAAAACGTACCTCCAGGAACTACTGAAAATCCTAAATGCCTTTGTCTGGGGAAATATAAAACCTAGAGTTGTGAAAGAAACCCTATATAAATTGTTCGCCCATGACGGCATGGGACTCCCAGACATGCTAGGATACTATTGAGCCGCACACATATCCACTCTGCTCTATGCATTCCACCACCCGACCCCACTAGCATGGATACAAATTGAAAAAGGCTACACAGGGGGCCACTAACATCCTTGGTGTGGATTCCCGTGCAGACACAACCGAAATACCAACACGTGCTACCCACGACGACACTTACTTTACAAATTTGGGACGGCTACCGTAAAAGACTGGGTGTAGAAGACAAGGTATCAGGTGCCTTACCACGACTCATTGACAATTTCAATTACAAAACATGGGAGAGGCACGGAGTCTATACACTCCTCCAACTACTTCAGGGCTCCCGCCCCAAAAGATTTCTGGATCTTCAATCCGAATTCCACATCCCTAACACAGCTGACTTCTCCTATCTCCAACTGAAATCTTGGGTCACACCACAGATATTACCACACACGATAACTCTGTCAGGGCCACAACTGTCCAAAGTTGAAAGCGTCAGCCTTAAACTGGAACTCTCCAGGAAACTTATCTCACTAATTTATGCATCGGAACATTCCACAACCTGTCTAGACTCCCTCACCTTAAAAAAGGCATGGGACAGGGATTTTCAGACAACCCTGACGGAACCCCAATGGAAAGAGATATTTAAAGCTCACAAATCACTGACACTATGCTCGACCCTCATTGAACTATCATGCAAAATTCTATACAGGTAGTACATGATCCCCACTTGCTTAAAGCAAAGCTTCCCTTCCACCTCGGACAAATGTTGGAGATGTCAGAGGGACATATGGTGGTTATGTCCACAGCTTAGCAGTGGCACGCAGTGGCTAACTTGATAAATAGCTGCACACAAGTCGACCTTCCTCGCCGCCCCGAAACATTCCTCCTCCTGCTATTTCCGAAACAACTTAAAAAAAGCCAACAGTATCTAATCTATCATATTCTCATTGTAGCCCATACGGTGATAAGCAGACAATGGAGGTAGCACACTCCCCCAAAATAGATCAATGCATATCCACAATTGAACTCAACAAACACTACGAACTCATGGCTAGATGCGCCTGCCTATAGGCCAAACATTGGTACGTGGCTTGGGAACAGTGGGAATCCCACAAACCCAACAACAGTGTTGCATTCCCTCCCTAGCGCATGAGCAAGGCTCAGGTCCATACTGCCACCACTGGCAAACCGGTACGAATACTACCAAAGTTCAAAATTCCAAGTTACTTCTCCCCACCATTCACCCAAATGACAACCGCTTCTACCATAACGGCAGCACTAAGCCCATGATGGAACACCCCATTGACACAACCTGTATTGAGAAGACAACAAATCGCCTCCCACAGACCCACTAGCCACACAGGGCACAGGCTCGATTGGTCCCGCCTGACCATGTTAACCCATTCAATGCCCCACGACACACTGAGAATTCACCACATGGGGCACCCGCGGAGGCCCAAAACAACGCCTAAGGTGCTACCTGTTGTGTAATGTGAGTCGCCCCTTATAGCCTACCCCCCTTCTTCCGCTCTCTCCCCCTCCTCGTCCCTCTTCCGCATGGGTTAGTCCATTGAAATATAAACCAGTATCAACAGAAGAATGCTGCAAATAGAAGAATGTGTTTATGTGATAACAACTACCCGGTTGGAGGAGACCAATTCTCCCCCCTTCTTTCTTCTCACTAGACAGGCTAGCAACTAGGCCCAACACTAGGTTGCGATAGGTACCATATGACATTAAAGAGTTTGTTTGATACCTACGCTGTAGCTTCTGTATTGCCTGCTCTAATTGAACGAAATATGTAGTTACTGTATGGAAACACTGTGCTAGAAACATCAATCCTGGACTCCCATACCCTTTTCTCTTCTGTATCCCCTACTTTATGTGCCAAAAAACAAATGGTCAAAAAAAAAAAAAAAAAAAAAAAGGAGACGTCATGGGGACAACCAGGATGACAAGCAGCACCGAAGTGCAGCATTTAATGGCTGCTCATACATACACAGCTACTGAAATCACTGATTGATTCAGCGGTAAACACCAAGAGAAAAACTTCCCCAAGGAGTCAGGGGAATTTTATGTATGTTCAACAGCAGGTGTAAGGAACGGTCACTTCCACTCTGTTCCCAAATGCCCTCATTAAAGTTGTTAAAATGACACTGAGTAGGTCTACTAAACATATAAGGGAAAAGTGGAATTTTTTAATCTGTCAGCCAGAAAACAGAGGAAGAGTCATGGAAGAAGTATTATAACGAAATATGTGTAAGTACTTGCCACTGTACACATTTTTATTTGTCCAACTTTTAGACTGTCGCAAATCCTGCAGAGTCCCTCCCGAAGTCTGGTCTCTATATCCACCCCTGACTGAAATCCTCTTATATGGGCAAAATATCCTGGAACACTCTCACAAACTTTTTTTGAATAATAATTAATAATAAAGGGGCAGGACACTAGGGAAATATCAGAGCAGTTGGGAAGAAAACATAGGTCACAAATATTTGGGATGGCATAGTTAGCAATTACTGATTTTATATATTATATATATATATATATATACAGAAAAAACAATAAGTATGTCAGGGATCCGCGGGCGGCTAGGAGGGGAGGCTGCACGCCGCTTGCAGCACTCACCCTCACTCCATCGCCGCCCGCGGTCTCCCCTCTACTCACCTCTCGGCGAGCAGCGTCTCCTCTCTGCCGCTCGCCGCCCGCGTCCTCCACGCCCCCCAGCGAAAGCATGTATAACGCTGCAAGCTGGGAGGTCAATGACTTATGTAAACGCCGCGGTCACGTGAGTGACCCGGCGTTAAAGAAACAGTACCACAATCACAGTGGGGGGTATAGATATCCCCCACGTGTGATTGTTAATTCTGATTGGAAGTTATCCAATCAGAATTAAACCAAGGGTATTTATACTTACCTTTCCTGTCCCTCAGTGCCCTGTTGTGGTCTTGTGATACCTGTAGCGTAGTGTTCTCGTCTTGCTCTCTGGTTACCGATTACTTGGCTCGTTATTCCGATTATCCTGTCTTCTCCACTCCTTTGACCTCGGCTTGTTTCTCGTTCTCCTGTTTTCTGGCTCCCTTTACCTGGCTTGTCTCCTGACTATTCTTAGCGTGCTTAGCCCGGCCACTCTAAGGTCCGGTACGGCACCTTTTCTGTGTGTGTGTGTGTGTCAGCGTGTTAGGTTCCCCGAATCGTGACATTACAACAGGGCCACCATGGAACCTGCTGACATTCCACAGCTGTTAGTTAATCAGGAGGCTAGAATGGACGGTTTAGACCACCGTATGGATCAGTTTGCCCAGGCTTTACAAACCATACTGGCTCGTACTGCCCACTTGCAACCTGCCGTCCAAGAAGCTGTTGCTGCTGTGCCAGAACCCATTCCTGATCCAGTACCCGCTCCTGCTCACGTGGTTCACATGACGCCACCTCAGCGCTATAGCGGTGATCCAGCATTGTGCCGTGGTTTCCTCAACCAAATTGATATTCATTTGGTGATGAATCCTCGTTCCTACCCCACTGACAGAACCAAAATTGCTTTTTTGATTAACCATTTGTCCGGGAAAGCACTAGCATGGGCTAATCCCATGTGGGAGAATACGTCCCCAATGTCCTTTTCAGACTTCTTAACAGCTTTTAAACGTACGTTTGACCAACCCGGCCGGGTTGCTTCTGCTGGCAAAGCTCTGCTTAGGGTTCGACAGGGTAATAGATCAGTAGCGGATTATACCATTGAATTCCGCACTTTGGCAGCTGAAGTGGTCTGGAATAACGACGCTCTCGTAACAGCTTTTCAGGAGGGTTTGGCTGCTTACATATTAGATGAAATAGCATCCAGGGAAATGCCTGTTCTTCTGGATGATCTTATAGATTATGTCATTCTAATTGACAACAGTATTAGAGAGAGGCGTAGTCAAAGAAGGATGAATACACAGGGGTTACCTGCTTTACCCAGTACTGCATTGCTAGCATTACCTCCTCCTAATCAACCACCTCCCGAACCCATGCAATTAGGTGCTGTAGGTTTATCTGAAGCTGAAAGAACGTACCTCAGAAGGGAGGGTTTGTGCCTTTATTGTGGTAAGAGGGGGCATCTCCGAAGAAACTGTCCTAGTTTGCAGGGAAACTCCAGCACCTAAAGCCTAGAGAGGGGTCGGCCTCGGGTGTTATGGTTTTTTACCCTCATATGTCCATCTCCAGACCATTTATAACGGTTTCTCTTTTGGTCAATAAAACCACAATAACAACTAAAGCCTTGATCGATTCAGGTGCTGCAGACAGCTTTATGGATGAGAACTTTGCTAAAACCGCAGCCTTGAATCTGATCCAAAAGGCCACACCCTTGGCCATTGAGGCCATAGATGGTATACCACTTGATAAACCTCTGGTGACCCATGAAACCCAAGAAATGGTTATGGTCGTGGGTGCCTTACACAAAGAAAGGATAGCCTTCCAAATAATTGACTCCCCTACAGCTTCCACCATTCTGGGTTTTCCTTGGTTAGTTAAGCATAACCCGGTACTCGATTGGGATTCTCTAGATATACTCTCCTGGGGGGTATCTTGTCAACGAGACTGTATGGCCCGTTTACATCCCATTTGTTTACTTAATGTGCCTACAGCTAAACCACTTTCTGTTTCTGTCCCTCCTGTGTATTCAGACCTCGCATTGGTCTTTGAAAAAAGGGAAGCTGATAAACTACCTCCACACCGGGATTATGATTGTGCCATAAATTTGTTACCTGGAACGATGCCTCCTAGGGGTAAGGTCTACCCGCTTTCTGAGAAAGAAAACCAGGTCATGGAGGAGTACATACAGGAATCCTTACGTAAAGGTTTTATCAGCCGGTCATCCTCTCCGGCTGGTGCTGGTTTCTTTTTTGTTGCCAAGAAGGAGGGCGATTTGAGACCATGTATAGACTATAGGGGCCTGTATAATATAACAATTAAAAATGCTTATCCTGGGGGCGGCGCCTGACTTCCGGCGCGAATGGCGGCTTTCTGAGGGAGCTCCGTCCTCGGAGGCACAGACCCGGCAATCACCAGCACCCGCAACCGGCTCTTACACACCCACCCGGCCACCTCGTAACTCACCCACGGTACCTCACTACATAACGATGGGGGGCGGGCGGAAAACAAAGCAGGGAGCTGCAGAAGTAGCTCCGATATTCCGGAGCCGCAAAGATGGCGGCGCCACGCATGAGGAAGAAGAAGGCCGCGAATATGACTCAGACTCTGCAGCCAGTGACAGGAGCAGAACAATGGCAGCTACCCCCCTCACCAAAGAGGACCTCCGCCAGCTACTTAGTGACATTAAGGCAAATATGGCTACAGAATTTGACAGGCACCTCACACCCATCAGAGAAGGCCTGATTGACTTGACCCACAGAACTTCCACAATTGAGGAACAACTGGACCTGACAGTTACACGCACAACAGCAACTGAACATGCCATAACCGCCCTACAAGAACAGCTCCGACAGTTAGAGGAGGCACAAGAGGACCTGAACAACCGGTCCCGCCGAAATAACGTAAGGATACGTGGAATACCAGAAACGGTCACAATAGAGGCACTGGGCCCAACGCTACGAGAGCTCTTTTGTGGCCTGCTCCCAGAGGCCACACCGGCGGAACTCCTACTAGATAGAGCGCACAGGGCTCTACGAGCACCTATGCCCAATGCAACCCAACCCAGGGATGTTATCATAAGAGTGCACTACTTCAACATTAAAGAAGCACTCATGCAAGCGGCACGAAACACCGCCCTACAAATAGAAGGCCACCAAATCTCCTTCTACCAGGACCTGGCCCCGAGCACCCTGCGCAAAAGGAGGGAGCTGCGGCCCCTCACTCAGGAGCTCACGAGACAACACATCCGCTACTCATGGGGGCACCCATTTAAGCTGCAGGTCCGGAAGAACAACCGCACCTACACCCTATACAACACCGCGGAAATGGCGGATTTCGCAGAGAGCCTCGGCCTGGATCCCACAACTCTCACCACGGACCCGAATCCCAGAAGACACGACAGAGGCCCTCCGCCCAGAAATGCACCACCGATAGCCCCGGCACGCCAGATACCGAATAGCCCACGCACCAGGGCCGACAACTAAACGGACCGACAACCACTCACCACTCGACACACCAACAGAGGACCAACATACCAAATAAGAAATAAGAAACGACACGGACTACTCTCAAGAGGATTGTGGTCACCACAGCTGACAAAGTACCCGAACACGAAACCTGGACTGACTAAGGAACATTGGCAATCCCACACCCCGATAATGGACTGGAAACAGCCTAAACCGCTGACAACTCCAAGCTCCAGATAAGCTATAATTAACAAACTCTCTCCTTGCTTTATATAATGTTTCCTGTTCACTGTTTGGTTGCTAGGACTCATTCGGTAGACAGTAATTATATGTCTCCAGTCATTAGGCATCCTTCCATAAATAGAAATTATAGACTCAGGAATGTGGGTAGCACGCACTGGTACCCGGCTTGGCACCAACCCACGTAGTCACAGACCACTGCCACCCAGGGTGCAAAGTGGAACAGCTGCCCCACATCCACCCACCACACAGGTATCCTAGATGCCGCAGCATAAAATACCACGACCTAGCACTAAAACGGAGCAGATACCCATAGGGAGGCACACTCTGGGCAGGGAGGGATGGCTGGGGCACCCCCCAATAATGGGCATGGCAGGCGCCCAATACAAGACAATTTTCAGGAGTACACCTCAAAACACTGATGGCTCCCGTGAGCGTAAACACTTCCCCAGGAGACCCCATAAAGCAGTATCCGGGATCACACTCTGCTCCCGCATAAAACACACTGGGACCCAGGAGATGCGGGCACACCCTCCACACAGAAAACCGGGGACAACACCACAAGCACCAGAGAGAATGAGCGCAAACGGCACACCCTGGGAAACAGCAGGACTTAGACAGGCACACCCAGAGCACACACAACCCCTAGGGCCCAATGCAAGCTGGGTCACCACCAAGGATAGGATCTGACCAATACAGGGAGGGCCTCACACTAACCCACAAGACTTGTAAAGACAAAGCACCAGGCAACCGAGGGACCGGGAAAGTGTAGCTATCAATCAACCCCCCCATTCCTTCAGCCTCCCTAGCCCAGGGACCCCCTAGGGCTCCCCACAGGGAGACACCATAGGGGAAGATACGCAACACGGGAACCCCTGGATACTAAAGCAGAGGAAATGTATATAACTGAATTGAAGTTGATGTTAAACTGTTGTGTTACAATGTAAAACTGTTACTCATTATTTTTCAGCTAACCGACACACCCCACCCCAAGTGCTGACGAACGCCACTTACAGCAGACGGCAGCCCGACGACATCTTACGACTGGACGGTGACCGCACACCCTCACCACTGCACCAATATTAGATGCATTAACGACCAGACCAACACCCCACGGGCTCACAAGGTACAACCCAACACACACACGGCACGACACGCAGAGGGCTACCCTCGCAGACGCAACGCCTCCACAACGCTGACCGATCACAGCACACAAGGTAACGCGGAAGACTACTGAAAACTGCCTCTGGACGGCCCAGACCGGACGGTCGCCAACCCCCGACACACACACACCTACCCGAACTCACGGGGAAACCCACGGAGCGGTCGGACGCTTCGCACCACTACCTACTGGCCTTCGGATAAGCCCAGTAGCACACTCTACCCATTTCTCCCTCCCACTACCTTAACCCAGGCTAACACCCTCAGCCCTCCCGCCCCCCCCTTCCCTCCACCCCTCGCGGCCCGCGGCCACCCGGACGCGCAACTCAAGATACCCCATCACTGCAAAACCGCAGAGACCGCCACACTCCCACAGATAACATGCCTACACAAATACGCTGCATCTCCATCAACGCCAAGGGGTTGAACTCCCCCAACAAGAGGCACGGCATTCTACGCTGGGCACATAAACAGCAAGCTGACATAGTCCTCATACAGGAAACCCACTTCACAATCAACCGCATGTTCCCCCTCACTAACAGATACTACACACAAAGCTTCCATGCTCCCTCCCCAGACACCAAGACCAAAGGTGTAGCGATCCTTTTGAGAGCAAACTGCCCCCTCACAGATATCACTTGCTCCAAAGACCCACAGGGTAGATACATCACCATACGAGGAAAAATAGGCACAACACAATACGCCTTTTCATCGCTGTACGCACCCACAACACCAGACCCAACCTTCTGGCAACAATTAGCGACTCACCTCAACACGTACTCAACCACACGACTTATTGTGGGCGGGGACTGCAACGCAGTGCACACACCTGCCGTAGATCGGGCTTCAAGCGCCAAAACACGAACTCGCCCAAACCAAAACGACGCCCTCTTCGCACAATTCCTGGCTTCCCATAAACTGATTGACATATGGAGGGCACAACACCCGACCACCAAAGACTACACTTTCTACTCCCACCCACACAGATCCTATTCACGCATTGACCACTTTCTCATCTCACCAAACTTACTCTCTCAAATCACCAAATCGGAGATTGGACCTATCTCCTGGTCCGACCATGCCGAGATAGCAATCACTCTAAACCTACCAACCATACATACACACTGGTCATGGCGACTTAACCCAATACTCCTCCACGATCAACTGATCAGAGACAAAATAACTATCGCAATCAAAGATTATTTCGATTTAAACTCACCCACAACGACCTCACCTATGACCCTCTGGACAGCACATAAAGCAGTCATCAGAGGCACACTCATCAGCCTAGCCACCCATAAAAAAAGACAAACACAACAACAAATACTAGAAACGATGACAGAACTCCGCCGACTAGAAACGGAACACAAAAAGAACCCCAACCCGACCACCCTGTCCAAACTCACGGCGACCAGAAACCTCCTTAACACCCTCAAACAAGCAGACACAGCCAAAGCTCTGATGTGGCTCAAACAAAAATATTATGAAAAGGGCAACAAGGCGGACACCATGCTTGCCCGCAGACTTAAAAAGCGAACTGAAGCTAAACGCATCACAAAGATACGCACGAACGATGGTACCCTCACAGACTGCCCAACTAGTATAGGAAAAGTCTTCCAGGACTATTACACGGACCTCTACAACCATGACCACCGACCCCATGACACCAGCCCATCGCTGTCCACACGCATAGACACATTCTTACAAAGCACGACGCTACCCACCCTAACGCAAGAGGCCCAAGCAGCCCTGAGCCAAGACGTCACGACAGAAGAAATGGCCATAGCAGTGGGATCCCTCAAACCAAATAAAAGCCCAGGGCCGGACGGCTACACAGCCCTATATTACAAAGAATTCGGCCCACTACTCTTTACACATCTAAGCGCGGTCTTTAACGCAGCACTCAAGGGAGAGAACCTCCCACCGGAAATGACCGGGGCAAACATCTGCCTCCTCCCGAAACCCGGCAAGGACCACTCTGAACCCGCACACTACAGACCAATTTCCTTACTCAACGTGGACCTCAAAATCATGACCAAAATTATGGCCAACCGCTTAAACCCATACCTAGGATCCCTCATACACCCAGATCAAGTGGGATTCATCCCACATAGGCACGCCGCGGACAACACCCGGAGAGCCATTGACCTCATATGGCTGGCTAACCACAGACGAATCCCTACAGCGATCATCTCACTGGACGCGGATAAAGCGTTTGATCGCTTGCTCTGGCCGTTCCTCTACCATACGCTAACATACATAGGGATACCACCCGAGTTTACTTCATTTGTGCATGCCATCTATCACTCTCCCCAAGGGGCACTTTTACTACCTAACATCCCCCCACCACAATTCCCCATTTCAAATGGCACGAGACAGGGGTGCCCTTTGTCCCCCCTATTATTCGCCATATCACTAGAACCTCTACTGCAAGCGGTGCGTGCCAGCCATGACATAGAGGGGCTAACGATCAGGGGAGAAACCTTTAAAATCTCAGCCTACGCAGATGACATCCTGCTAACACTGACACATCCGGAAAAATCAATACACTCGCTCCTAACTCTCATCCAAGAATACTCAGACCTGTCAGGGTACAAGATCAATCTGAACAAATCAGAGCTCCTCCCAATACAAATAGATGCTCCAAACATAGCTACACTCAAACAAATATGCCCGATGAGGATCTGCCACACAACGATGACGTACCTAGGGATTCAACTCCCAACAGACATCGCCACTCTATATAAAACAAATTACACCCCCTTATTACAAAAAGCTCACTCTGACCCCACTAAATGGAAATCACTAGGGGTCTCATGGCTGGGGCGCATCTCCACCATCAAAATGAATCTCCTACCCAGATTCTTATATCTATACCAAACCCTCCCCATACCGATCCACAAACAAGACTTTAAGGCACTACAAACAGCCATTGACACATTCATCTGGAATGGACACAAACCCAGAGTACGCCGAAACACACTATACGTACCCAAGAAACACGGGGGACTAGGACTACCACACTTCACACATTACCACACCGCAGCACACCTAACACAGATACAACACTGGCACGTCCCACCAGGGGAGAAAAGATGGGTGGACTTGGAACACATCATTTTCGGTAGGGACCATCCGTCCCTGTACATGTGGGTACCCAAACCACATAGACCCCTACCCCCTCCCACTGCCCCCTCAATCACCCATGCGCTTGACACATGGGACAAAATGAGGGACAAATTTGAACTGTCATCGTTCCTATCTCCTATGACCTCCATATGGAGGAACAAGCTATTCCCACCGGGACTTACCCCCAAGCACTTCGCTCATTTTGAACACAGGGACATCTCCCGTCTAGGGCATTTGTACCAAGACAACGACATTATAAAATTTTCGGATATCAAAGACTCATCCTCACTCACCTCATTCGATCACTTTAGATTCATACAATTACGCAGCTTTGCAGAGACTCCAATCATAAAACAAGCCGGCACGGCTCAACTCAATCGATTTGAAAGAGACTGCATTGCGCACCCCAACAGACAAGGACAAATTTCCGACATATATGCAACCTTAGCGAC